GTACCTGCTTGGACTCCGACCATGCCCTAATACGGGCACGCATCTGCTTGCGCCTCACTGGACGCAAAAAAGCCACATTAAAAAGACCCATTAGAACTGAGTTGAGTAACGAGAAAACCAAAAGTAGGTTCCAGGAACAACTGAGGTCACACTTAGGTAGTTCTGAAGACGAGGCTGACCCAGATGTTGCTTGGAAGACATACAAGCAGCTGTGGAAACAGCAGTGACATCTATTAGTGACTTAAACCACAGAGTTACAAAGAACCAGTGGATTTCTTCAAAGTCTATCACACTGATGGATTCTCGCAAACTCGTCCCATCAGGTTCTGAACATGATGAAGAGCGACAACAAATCAGATCTAGGTTAAGAAAAAGTCTAAGGAACGACCGTGAGCAGTGGTGGGCAACGAAAGCAAAAGAGATGGAAAAGGCGGCGACTATAGGGAACACAAGACAGCTTTACAGACTAATAAAAGAAACTGGAATTAATAAGTCAAGTGTAAGTGAGATTATTTCGGAAAAAGCGATACTCTCATCTGCTCCCAGTCCAGACGTTTAGAACGATGGGCGGAACATTTCAGAGAACAGTTCAGCTGGCCTTCAGCTACTCTACAACTACCCTCCATTCCCAGACAGTGTGAATGGAACATTGAAGTAGGTCCCCCAACTCTTGCTGAAGTTCAAAAGGCTATAGTTAATCTGAAACGAGGAAGGGCAGCTGGTCCAGATGGACTGGCTCCAGAAGTCTTTAAGGATGGTGGTCCAATTTTAGCGATTAGGTTGACTAATATTTTAGCTAAGATCTGGGAGTTAGACGTTATCCCATCTGACTGGTCACAATCACTTATCGTCCCAATATATAAGAAAGGGTCAAAATCATCCTGTGACAACCACAGAGGGATTAGTTTAACTAATATAATATCTAAAATACTAGCCTCGATAATTATCAGACGCCTAACTAAGACTCGTGAACTGCAAACACGAGAGAACCAAGCTGGCTTTAGACCTGGTCGTGGCTGCATCGACCACATATTCACCATTCGTCAGGTTCTAGAACACAGGCATACTTATCGGCGTCCGACAATGGTGGTCTTTCTTGACTTAAAAGCAGCATTTGACTCTGTAGACCGCGAGATTCTGTGGCAGTGTCTGTCATTGAAAGGCGTACCTCAGAAGTACATAAACCTTGTGAAGGCTCTTTACTCGAACACTACTAGTCGAGTCAGAGCTTATGGCGAACTGTCATCTACTTTTGCAACCTCAAGTGGTGTCCGTCAAGGCTGTCCACTTTCCCATTTTTGTTTAACTTCATCATAGATCTTTCTCGTCGACTGAATTCTCGGGTATTGATCTCCTTCCAGGAGGTCCACTTATCGACTTAGAATACGCAGATGACATAGTCCTGTTTGGTGAAGACGCTGACAAAATGCAGAGTCTTCTGGTAGCACTAAGCAACAATGCCAGAATGTTTGGAATGCGCTTCTCTCCCTCTAAATGCAAGTTGTTGCTTCAGGACTGGTCTGCGTCAACACCTGAACTAAGGATAGGGAGTGAAGTAGTCGAACGCGTTGACAACTTCACTTATCTTGGAAGTCTGATCAGCCCTAATGGGTTGGTGTCTGACGAAATCTCAGCACGGATTCGAAAAGCTCGTTTGGCTTTTGCCAACTTACGTCACCTTGGCGAAGGCGAGATATCCGTCTATCAATAAAAGGACGAGTATACTGCGCGGCAGTCCGTTCTGTTTTAATTTACGGCAGCGAAACATGGGCATTAAGAGTAGAAGACACTCGTAAGCTACTAGTATTTGACCACAGATGCCTTAGAAATATTGCTGGCGTCTGCTGGGATCACCGGGTAAGTAATAGTGAGGTTAGACGCAGGGTATTAGGGAATGATGGTAAATCAGTTGATGAGGTTATGAATCTTCATCGACTGAGATGGTTGGGCCACGTGTTACGTATGCCTGAACACCGATTACCACGACGTGCAATGCTAACCGGTGTTGGAGATGGTTGGAAGAAAGTTAGGGGCGGCCAAACCAAAACGTGGCATCAGTGCTTGAAGTCACTAACTTCTAGTCTGAGCCATGTTGGTAGATGCAGACTACTTGGTTGGGGTCCGCGTGACTTTCGTAACCAATGGTTGGAGACTCTTGGTGACATGGCTCAGAATCGATCACAATGGCGTCGGTGTATACACTCCCTGTCTTCCCTTAAACTAAGAGATTAAAATCACTTCATATCTTTCTTTCTACGAACCAATTCTTTCTTCTTGTATTATATCTCTATATGCAATCTTTCTCTTATATATTACCACCTTTGACCTAACCACTGCTATGAATCCGGTGTTCATCTTGTTGTGCTGATGCGGTATGGCAACCTGGACCGATGCACATATGTGCCTGGTCCTACGTTGTAGCTGACTGACTGACTGATGTGAACTGTCTTAACTGAAAGTCTTTTCAGGTATATTGTTAACTAAATTGTGTCTACTATCAAATACTCTTCTTATCCGTCAGTTAACTAATTGTTTAGCCCTTCAATCCTTTTTTCAAAAAACTACCATTTTATTAGTTTGGCTTTTTAGTGGCCTACTGTATTCGAATTCATGTGCTATAGAAAGTACAAACAATTATCCCTAAAACATCTATGCAAGCAGAGAAAGGCCTAAAATCTGTAAAACCAAACAGAACCAGTAAATTTACAGTTTCGCCTGATTTCACTTGTCATACTTATTAATCTTTTCAAAGGTTTTGACGTTTTTTCTGGAACTCTAAAGTTTCATGTAACCGAATAACTAAGACTTGATTTATGTGTAAGAACCAAATTTGAGGTAAAGCCTCAGTCAATGTACCACGTTTTAATTTGTTTAGGATTTATGATTTATCGACTGGTAAGAATCTATTTATCAGTTTAGTAAGCCGTAATCAAGCGTTCGCTAGAAAAACTCAACACTAAGATGTTTAAAAATGCTGAAAATAAGATATACGATCCAAGGAAAAAGAAAATGATAGCCATCAATGAAAATGAGTGAAGTTAGAAGATGAAAAAAGAGACAAATAAAACTAACCGTAATAATTTTTACATTTAAAAAAATATAAAAGAATAATTTCACTGTGTATGGATAATCATCCTTTTTTGATGTTCGATAAAAGTGTGATATCTAGCATTATTCTGTTCATTTAGTATATCATTTCGGCACATAAGAGTGCCATTCCACTAAAGATTTCATTTCAATTATTTAAAGCTATTTACATACGTCTTCTGTGAACAAGCTATTGCAGAGCATTCCAACTTGGCAGATCAAAAAGCAAATAAACTGAAAGTTAGAATTTAAAATAAAATCCTCAATGAACAGAAAAATACTAGAGATTACTCACATACTGAATACTTGAGAAGCAAATTCATTACAAATCCATAGACACATATCCCATTCCGTTTTAACTATTTGAAAATGTCAAATTATTTTTTATGTATATAAAGACTAGAAATAATTACACGTTCTTTTAATGTATGTTTATCATCAATTACACAAGCATAATACGATAGATGTACATTGTTTATATACATCAAACATAAAACAAATAACTCAAAGAAAGAAATGATGTCGTTTTCTTAAAAGAAATAGACACGTAGTATTATTATTGTATCATCTTAATTAGTAATAGCATTTAAAAAAGGGTTTATCGATTGTAATTACCGTGTTCTGGGAAAAATTTGGGTCTTTTTTCGTTTAGACAACAAATTAAAAACAAGACAAAACAGCCTACTTGTTTGTAAAACATCTCCAACTATGTGTGTATTATCGTGTATAATGAAACGGATAGATATAATATCACAATTGATATAATTATCGAACTGATTAATTTTAAAACAATTCTCAGCACAAAACTAATAACTTGTGGAGAATTATAGATAATTGGGGAAAAATAGTTGAACACTTAAACTTATCTGGGATTAAACAAACAGACAATAATATTATGAAAGAAGTATATCATTGTCAACGAAACTGGGGGTACTTTCGATACATCAGGAAGAGATATAGCTTGTCATATAAGGTTATTAATTTCTACAGTGTTGATTACTCTTCTAGCAAGAAGCTTTTTGCCTAACTCCGGCACGACTTACACCATACATCTTTTTGGAAATATGAGGAGATTTATTCAATCAACGCTTCACAACAGAGCAGGTGGCATTTTATTTTATGAAAATAATGAATTCAACGCGACTAATCACTTCAACTAGTGTTATCAAACTACGTAACATGAGAACTGACTAAATAGTACCATCTTAGATTATCAAATTTAGCGAACTACTTGTCAGTTAGTTTTGTATTTCAAATGGTATCCAAAGAAACTCAGACACCTGTCGAACTTTTCTATCAAAAGGGTTATTGCATGTGTTCATCAAGGGACTTTTGAGAAAACAACGTCGTTCAGTATGGTTGTCAAAACAGCAAAGATGTGATGAAAATGGTAGTCACCTGTGCATATCATTCAATGCCGTCAGCTGACATAACAACTAAATCCAAAAAAGGATAACGTGGTGTAACTGTTCATTGCTTGCTTCATAAACAGTTAGATTTTTTAATGCCGGATACTGTCTAACGCTTAGAGTAGTGAATTATACTAGATTGTCTTTAGGTATATGTGTATTCCAGATTTTGGCCAACGGTTACTTCATTTTCACCAGAAAATATTGGTTATTGGATTTTAGTCAGGTAAAACACCAACATCAAATTTAATGGATGCTAAGAAAATCTTGATTTTGAACAATCAAGTAATGCCAATTGCATTGCTGTAAAAGAAAAATTAACTAAGCTGGAAAAACTTCGGAACTCCTTTTCATTAACATTTTAAATGGTTTCAGTTTATGTTTAACTGTTGTTCTGAAAATGAATAGTATTTTAAATGTTATATCTATGGGTTAAAAAGAGTTAAATATCAGGTTAATAAAGAGCTATGATATATTTGTTATATTTTTACGTAACCGACTCACTTTGGGACTGAGTGATACGGGAAACAGTCCATGTGAATAAATTCATGAGTGATTGGCGGTCATACACAGTTGTTTCAAATATATTTGCCACTGAATTGAAGAAAAAAAAAGAGTGGAAAGCATCACTTTTGAAGTTCCAACAATCAAAAATACAATGTTTGGTGTAAATTGATTAGCAGAAAAAAGAAAACTTGTCCCCCTGGACAGATTAGTTATCAACAAACTCACTATACTAATAATGTAACTACATGAAATTTAAAGAATGATTACAAAAAAATTAAAGAAGCTTGAATGATCTTAATTATCACAACACGAAACTTACTTGTTATTTAGGTTTTAAGAGTAGTTAGGTTAAATGACTTTCAAAACGATGACAATATCAAGACTGACAGATATTTAGACCGAAAAAACCCATATAACAGCTAATAAGCCTAAAACATTCTTTTTCTATGATTGACTAAAACATAGTATATATACAAACGCTTTGAATTAAGTAAAATTATTTTAAAAAATCAATCTATTAGTAAAAGAAGTGTGAAATTTATATTCTTAGGACTTTAGAAATCTTTTACTATCTTAGCTTATGACTGACTTTTATCCAATGAGAATAAAGCCGTAAGTAGATGCCAAGAATGTGATGACAAGTCGACTTCATGTTACTTTTTGTTGAAAACATCCAATCAATTATTATCGGATAGTGGTGGAGACTCAGAGTCCTATATGTGTAAAATAGTTGAACCAATGAATTTATAATAATATGTAAACAAATAACTATCAATCATCCAGTTGGACAGATAATTAGGCACTACCTAAACAAGTCATTTGTAGCCTCTTGCTGTTATACAAGGTGATATATGTTTGAATCTGTAGAAGAGACCTTATTTCTTTCAAGACCAATCTGTTCTTATCTTTGTTACCACTTAGGAGCAAGAAAGTGATGCCCAAGGTTATTTGACAACTTTCTAACCGGTCAATTTTGTATCTACCTCTATGAACTTAACATTTACAAAAAATAAAGGTGCTTACTAAAAAACAGTAAACTATCGAGATAAAAAAATTATTAATGTTTCAAGAATTTCTTTTATTATAATGGTTTTTAATCTATCGAATGAATGAACAGAGAATCATATTTTACAGTCTTAAGAAATGCTATTATTTATTTGATGAAAAAGAGTATACAAATCAATCAATAAATTTCGACTAATTTCCAGGAAAATTATAGATCGATAGAAGATGAAGTAGATTGATGTGATGAACAATATAATAATTATATTTTCTAATTATGTAAATTTCCTTTAGTGACAGTGAGAAGATAGATAGACATACTAATATAAAGCTAATCACTGAAGAGCAGGGATATTTTAGCTTTTGTTATTTGCCCAGAGAATCAAAACTAAAAAGAGCGTTTTCGAATTTTTGTAAAACACACGCTAGAAAAGAATCTTGTTTACAGTTTCCGTCCAGATAACTCAGGTGAACAGAACAATTTAGCTAATAGTGTATACCTTATACAAAAAGGTAACTGCATTTTTTTATCCTAGTTTACTCAATGAACTGATAAAACAACTTACTTAATTACTTACGCCTGTTACTCCCAATGGAACATAGGCCGCTGACCAGCATTCTCCAACCCATTCTGTCCTCCGCCTTCTTTTCTAGTTCCATCCAATTCTTGTTCATTTTTCTCATGCCTATCTCCATTTCTCGGCGTAATGTGTTCTTTGGTCTTCCTTTTCACACTTTGGCCTTGAGGGTTCCATGTGAGGGCTTGTCTTGTGACGCAGTTGGGTGCTTTCCTCAATGTGTGTCCTATCCATTTCCAGCGCATCTTCCTGACTTCTTCCTTCGTTGGGATATGGTTTGTTCTCTCCCACAGTAGGTTGTTGCTAATAGTGTCCGGCCGACGGATCCGAAGTATTTTGCGTAGACAACTGTTAATAAATACCTGTATTTTCTGGATGATGGCTTTCGTAGTTCTCCAGGTTTCTGCTCCATACAGTAGAACTGTCTTGACATTTGTATTGAAAATCCTGACCTTGGTGTTGGTTGACAGTTGCTTTGAGTTCCAAATATTCTTCAGTTGTAAATATGCTGCTCTTGCTTCGCCGATCCGCGCCTCCACATCTGCATCAGATCCACCCTGTTCATCAATTATGCTACTCAGATATGTAAAGGTTTTTACATCTTCCAAATCTTCGCCGTCAATTGTGATTGGATTGTTGCAACTTACATTTAAAGAAACTGGTTTCGTTAAACATCAAATCAGTATACTGAATAGGGATTATTTTTCTAGTCGATCATTTTGAGGTATGTAAATTAAAACGGTGTATCGCCTCTGAATAACCGCTCACGCACCAAATAAATAATTCGTTATTTGTTCTTATAAATGTTAAACAAGTGCTTCGCAAAAATTATTTTATAAACAAAAGTGTGAAAAATAAAATTCCAATTTTCATTTATACTACCCCTACACGCTGTACCTCTTGTTATCCAAGAAGCCAAGATAGAACCTAGTACACAAAAACACAAACCAAGTGGATCAATCTACAAAACTAAGTTTTACCAGACAATTAATAGTGAGCAATGCCTGACTTTGAAATAGAGTATTAGGTAAAGATGGCAAACAGAATGATGAAGTACTAAATCTTCATCAACTGAAATGGTTAAGACATGTGTTACGCATGCTCTATAATCCCCTACCTCCTCGATGGGTGATGCTTGCCGGTAGAGGAGTAGGGTGGAAGAAAGTTAGTGGCAGCCAAAACAAAACATGGCATCATTCCATCAAGTCATAGATGACTAAACTGAGCCATCTTAGGTGTAGTCTACCTGGTTAGGTTCTGTGTAATTATTAAAACAGACGTTCAAAGACTTTGAATAGCACGGCTCAAAATTGTTTGCAGTGGCGCAGGTGCATACACTCTTTGTGTTCTCCAAAATTCTAATCTTCTGAATTCTTCATGTCCTTTATTTCTCTTTCGAAATTCATTTCACTGGATTATACTCCTTGAATAAAATCTTCAAATCCTAATCTTTCCGATTACCGCTTATACTTTTACTACCTCTATCACTACGGGAATTGAATCGACTGTTGTATCTCTGTGATAATGTGGTACGGCAACTTGAACTTATGTGCGTACGTACGAAGTTCTACGTTGTTGCTGGCTGTTTGCAGTTGCTATTCATCTATGTGTCTGCCTCCAATTACCAACACAATGTATTCTTTGGTCTTCCTCTTTTCCTTTTCCATTCAGGACTCCAAGTGAGGACTTGCCTCGTGATATAGTTCGATGTTTTCCGTAATATATGTCCTATCCACTTCCATCGTCTTTCCTAATTTCCTCTTCAGTTAGAAGCTGGTTTGTCCTTTCCCACAGGCTCTGACCCAAAAAATTAAATAAGGTTATAAGGAATTTGGAAACAAATGGAAAGGAAAGTCCAGGACAGAATTAGGTGGAGAATGCTGGTGGGTAGCCTATGCTCCTCCACGAGGGGTAACAGGGCCTAATTTATTTACGTTTTCTTCACTAATTAATCTCATTTTCGATGCCTTATCTTTTCCACTACCATTGAAACTGTTACTATCTCTACTACTCTGGGATTTGGTCTGACAATTTCATCTTTCTGCACTAATGGGGTATGGCACCTTGAACCGATGTGTGTACGTACCATGTTTAACGTTGTGACTGACTGATTAGGCATCTACTCAACTCTCGAACAATACATCGATTTTTTTGCTGCTGGGTTGGTCTATGGAAGGACGCTATATTTGCCTGGTGATTTTTTTAACCGTGCAACAAATATTCCAACAGACATAAGCAGAAGTTAAGAAAACAGATTGAATCCATTATATCTGTCAACCCGCAAACTCAGAAAGCAAGACCGTTCGTGCTTATGGAATTAGAAAAATGCTCATATACACTCGTCAGAAATGAAAAAGTATGACAGCCCTCTTAAAATCATCAAGAAAGACGGTAAAACAGTTAAAGCTGAAAGAGTATGTAAGACACTGTTAGCACCGGTCGAGTTAAATCAACATTTCTAGAAAGTACTGAGCAACAAGCGATAAAATCACTAGAATCTACAGCAGGACAAGCAATAAATAAGCTAACTGCAACAAACGCTACCCTACACCAAAGTTCGACAACCACAGAAACTATGATAAGATCAGAAAGAAGAGGGAATTAGTTTGAAAGAGAAGTGGCAACCACCATATTTACCTAAATCAAACCCTCGCATTATTATATAACTTTTATGTACATTTTCTCTTGTGTTATGATTGTTTTTGTTACTATTCTTAATAGGTCCTACGGAATTTTATTATCTTTACATCTTAACCTTTCAGTTTTTTGGGACATTAAGCATGTACACACTTCCCACATTCTGAAAATCATTACTTTGATAAGAATCACATCTGGACAGTAAGTCGAAGCGGTGTAGATATTCCTGGAAATGGGAAATGTTTGGAATTGACTACCTAATCGGTAGCGAACGAGATGTCCTAGTCATGTCAGTTTTCGAATACCTGCCAAATAAATGTGGTGAATTTGATTACGGTCAAACTTTTGAGACTTGTATATTTGAAAATCTGAAAGAAAACTCAAAGTAAATGAAGGTGGGGAACTGAAAACAGAGCTAAATACATCCAGACCACCGATAACTTGATGAGCTATACCTAATATTAACATGGATAAAAGATTATTGGCACCGATGGAAAGCTTTAAATCGTGTTTATTTGGATTAAGAATCCTATTTATCGAGAAACATCTTAGAAACACCACCCTAGCTATCTGCGTCAAGCGTTTTTGAAAACACTAAAAACATAGCCTGTTACTAACAGTCAGTTTGACTGACGGGACATTTGATAAACCACACTTCCACTAATCATTCAAAGGAGACTATTGTCTTATGCGTCTAAACCTTCATCTTAATATTTGTGGAGCATCTCTTAGTGTTTCGAGTAGATTCCTTTCTGTAAAAAGTGGACACTTAACACCATGTATTACAACACATACGACACAATTAGATTACCTTTCTCCGATTGAGACCATCGAGAAACTTCTGTAGAATCTAAAGTTGCATCTTTAGGTTTATCAACTTTGTGACAGCTAAGTACAATACATAAATCACGTTTCTCGCGATATTTGTCAATCTACGGAAACAAAAGTTATGGGATTTAGTAGGACAGATTTACGTCTTGTTTTAAACTTTGGACAGAGCTGAAAGATTTGGAATCGCTTATATCATATACCAAAATGAATGCATCAGCACAATTCACAAAATGTTTTTCCAATTTAGTCATCCCTCCAAGATCGTAAATTCGAACTTTTTCTTTAAAACCACGATCTGTCTCGACAACGGCATTATAAGTGTCTTCATAAGTCGAAATCTGGTAATTAAAATATATCCTTAAATGAATGATTATCATTTATACATAAGGAAATTATAAATAAATTTTCAATATTTAGAGATAAGACTCATAAAACACTGATTTAACGTTTCGAAAAATGTAGTGATTTTGAAATAAGCCGTTGCTAGTCCAAACGACTAAAACTCAAAACATATTTGTTAGCTGCTTCATTTGAGCTTTGAACACCTTACGCAGTTTGTACCAACGATCTTCGCAATTCGTAGGAAACAAGATGGTATAGTCAGTAGGATAATATGGATTCATCGTACAAGTTCACAGTATGGGACTATTACACAAAATCTGGTCACCCTAAGCGAATTTAAAATGAAAAAAACTAATGTCATAGGAAGTACACTTAGCCACCTTCGACAGGCCATACAGACAAAATTTCCACAAGCAATATCTCATTTTCCTCGTTTTAAAGTCTTGTACACCTCACCTATGGTTCTCTTATCGATAAGGAAGGTCTAAGTAGATAGTACAGTCGCTCGATTTAAAAGGACAGTGTTATTGTTTCTCGTTGAGTTAATTAACTATTTTGATCGTAAATTACGCATCAAAACAACTGTTTACACTTTAATCGCATCTACCCCAGTTAAAGTGATATTTTATTGAGTGTTTTGATTTTGCTTTTGTGTATTTATTGCATCGAAGCATACTTGGTCGACTTTTACTTGATTTATTTAGTTAAGGTTTGAGAATCCTTTTACATATCCTGTTTTTGTCACCGTTCTAGTTGTTTTTCAAGATGGCTAGATCTGCACATAAATGTGGACAACCATATTGCTTATTTCCCGGGGAGGAAGGGATGCAATGTGATGAGTGTAATAAGTGGTCCCATAAGATGTGCACCCTATTAAGCCCCACTGCATATAAAAGGTGCTCAAAGTCCAACTCCCATTGGCTTTGTAGTTTTTGTTGCTCGAGCAAAACACTACTCATCCAGGAAGCAGTTAGCCTCCTGATGTTGGCTAATAAGAAGGTTGATGAGGGCCGTACTGGTAACATTGGTACTGATGGCGAAGATTGCGTTAGTGTTGTAAGTGCTGTCACGGCGCAAGCTAGACATCTACCTGTGCAACCCGCAATTAAACATTCTCCCCCGAAACGATCAGTGGGTGACACCTCATTAAACGTTGGTGGCCATATTGCTACAGCTGCGACTAGTGATCCAGATAAGACAATTACTGTCCCGAGTTGTTCTAATGTAGATGTTTCGACTGATGGAAAATGGATTACGCGAAAACGCAGAAGAGTATGAAAGACAACTAAAACTAATGACTGTTTACCTGATAAGTCCTTGGTGGACTCTCAGACCAATCCACCAAAGCTCCAAAGTAAAGCTTCGTCTAACACTGTTGTGAGTCACTCACAGGACTCGGTTACAATAAAACCTAATCATAAGATACCAGTAGTTAATATGCAGGATCTATCGTCACGGTCGAAAGCTGTTAACACAATTTCAAAGGAAGCTAAACCCTTCTTAGTTTAATTATTTGGAATCTAGAGGAGTCGAAAGATAACGACCCTGCTAGAAGACATGCACATGGCCTGCGGTTAGTGGAGTCTGTGGTAAGAAATGTACTACCTGAAGAGGTTTCAGGGGTACATATTACAAAAGTAATACGACTTGGTAAATGGGTTGGAGGCGAGACCCAACCAAGAAAAATCCTGAAGCTGGTTCTCGGGAGTTTCGAAGAAAGAGACATATTATTGAAAACGCACCAAAAACTCGTGACTCAAATATTCGCTTGAGGATCAAATCAAGTGGAAGAATGCTCTTACGGAGTTGAGAACTCGCAAGTAAAATGGCGAAACTAACCTTACCATCAAGGGTTTTCGGATAGTCTGGTCTTGGAAGTCAATGCTTCCGAGGCCTGTATGGGTAGAACGAATGATTACCAAAACGCCTTAAGTGTGTGCTACACAAACGCTCGTAGTCTTAGAAATAAAACGTCCGAGCTAAGTCTGATGGTGGAAGAATTATGTCCCGATATAATCGTTGTTACAGAAACTTGGTTCACAGTAGATATAGACTGTTTTCCTTTCATTGCAGGCTACATCTGTATTATAAGTGATAGAGTTTCAAGTCGCAAGGGGGGAGGTATAATATTATACGTTAGGGATCACTTTCGTATACAATCAACCATATCGGAGGCTCATATCAGTGGCACATGTGAGGTTGCATGTTGAAAGATTAAATCTAGAAATGGGTTAGTGACTATAGGGGGAATATACCGTAGTCCGTTTTGTCTTGCTGACGACTTTATCCTAAGACACATCTATTCTTGGAGTATGGCAGAATGTTGTCTCATCATTAGGGACTTCAACGCACCGCATATCAACTGGATAGAGCTTACAGCTCCAGATAGTGGTTTCGATAGCGACCTTTTATCTACCGTTATTCAGTGTGCACTTGTACAATGTATCACAAAACCGATACATTGATTTCAACCATGATCCGTCACTGCTGGACCTCGCCCTCACCCACCACTGTGAGGATGTCTTTGATATTCAGCACCTTCCCCCACTAGTGAACAGTGATCACTTAATTCACTTTAAGTTTAGGACACATGGTATACAATTCGTATCTGCTCCACCCCATCCCAATATCTGGTGAGCCAATATTCCGGCAATCAGAAACTGTGCTATCTCGAATGATTGGTCGGTCGACGCGGATGGATTGATCGAAGATGAATGGAATAAGTTTAAGACTACTTTCGAGTCCGTAACGTCGCCGTTTATCCCATGGTCAGCACGTAAGCTATCACATTGCCCTACATGGATTAATATGGAAACCCGGAAGCTGTTAACCCGACCGTTGTTGCTACCTTGACGTGGTGGTCGGGCTTGCCTATCGTGATGAAGCAACCGAGCTATACTGGCTGGAACAACCGTTCCTCAAGGTCCTACCATGTCAGACAGGTCGGTTGAAGAGCGGTAAGACTAAAAGCAACAAACCCAAGGTCCGAAGGCGAAGTCGTACTGCTGACTGTACAGAGGTGTGACAGCAGTAAGGTGTTTCCTTCAGACAACCAGCATGACAGCGATGCTGCCTTCCCACAAGGAGGGGTGGGGTTAGAAAAGGTCGACCCTAAAAATGCACACCTCGCCTTATCCCACGGATATCCGTCTCCGGCGGTAAGGTCTCAATAAGTACGGAGCTAACACAAAAATTACCCATAACAAGGTCGTGTGTGACCGACCTCAAGCAGTTGTCCCTTGGGCACTGCGGTCACGCTCTCAGTTCACTAAGACCACCTTTAATCCAATTTCCTTTTCAGGTACCTCCAGAACAACCCTTCCACGGTGTGGGCAACCGGGAAGTGATAACCGCCCTCATACTTCTAACAGCACTCAAGACCACTGTATTCATAATCAACCTCCTTCTTCAATTCCTATTATTCCTCCTACATCGACTTTCAACTCTGTATTTCCTCTCTCGGCTTCCACCTCAAGTGTCACCGTAGCCAACGATTCTAGTGCGCAAAACACTGTCCCAGGTCTACTGAAACCTCGCTCCAAACTACACATTGGAGCCTTCAACGTACGCACCCTATGTCAAATCGGTCAGCAGGCTTCCTTGGCTAAAACCCTAGAGTCTCTTTCCATTGATGTATGCTGTGTCTCCGAAACACGCATACAGGATTCCAGTGTGGTCATTCACTTGACCTCACCTCGGCAAGACGGAGAGCCAACGAGATACACCCTTCGTGTGTCCGGTGACCCGATGGCAAGTTCTCGTGGACTGGCAGGTGTAGGCATAGCACTAAGCATGAGGGCCGAACAAGCACTGCTAGAGTGGATCCCCGTCAACAGTCGTCTATGTGCTGTTCGGCTGAACGGCTACGTAAGAACTCGGAAGGATAGGGACACACGTCGTTGCCTTTTTGTCGTTTCTGCCTACGCTCCCACTGACTGCAGCTCAGATGAAGTGAAAGATGAATTTTACAGAAAGCTATCCGAACTTCTTCAGAAAGCTAAACGCTCAGACATAGTACTCGTAGCAGGTGATTTTAATGCTCAGATAGGCAGTTTAAACCAAACAGAAAGGCATTTAGGTGGATATTTTAGTATTCCGACACAGCGAACAGATAATGGTGATCGTCTGCTGCAGCTATGCTCAGACAATCGTTTATTTTTAGCAAACACAAATTTTAAGCATAAGGAGAGACATCGTCTAACATGGCGACCCCCTACACCAAACCAACGATGGACTCAAATAGACCATATTGCCATCAGTCATCGTTGGAGAGGGTCGGTAGAAGATTGTCGTTCATTCTGGAGTACCTGCTTGGACTCCGACCATGCCCTAATACGGGCACGCATCTGCTTGCGCCTCACTGGACGCAAAAAAGCCACATTAAAAAGACCCATTAGAACTGAGTTGAGTAACGAGAAAACCAAAAGTAGGTTCCAGGAACAACTGAGGTCACACTTAGTTAGTTGTGAAGACGAGGCTGACCCAGATGTTGCTTGGAAGGACATACAAGCAGCTGTGGAAACAGCAGTGACATCTATTAGTGACTTAAACCACAGAGTTACAAGGAACCAGTGGATTTCTTCAAGGTCTGTCACACTGATGGATTCTCGCAAACTCGTCCCATCAGGTTCTGAACATGATGAAGAGCGTAAACAAATCAGATCTAGGTTAAGAAAAAGTCTAAGGAACGACCGTGAGCAGTGGTGGGTAACGAAAGCAAAAGAGATGGAAAAGGCGGCGACTATAGGGAACACAAGACAGCTTTACAGACTAATAAAAGAAACTGGAATTAATAAGTCAAGTGTAAGTGAGATTATTTCGGAAAAAGATGATACTCTCATCTGCTCCCAGTCCAGACGTTTAGAACGATGGGCGGAACATTTTAGAGAACAGTTCAGCTGGCCTTCAGCTACTCTACAACTACCCTCCATTCCCAGACAAAGTGAATGGAACATTGAAGTAGGTCCCCCAACTCTTGCTGAAGTTGAGAAGGCTATAGTTAATCTGAAACGAGGAAGGGCAGCTGGTCCAGATGGACTGGCTCCAGAAGTCTTTAAGGATGGTGGTCCAATTTTAGCGATTAGGTTGACTAATATTTTAGCTAAAATCTGGGAGTTAGACGTTATCCCATCTGACTGGTCGCAATCACTTATCGTCCCAATATATAAGAAAGGGTCAAAATCATCCTGTGACAACCACAGAGGGATTAGTTTAACAAACATAGTATCTAAAATACTGGCCTCGATAATTATCAAACGCCTAACTAAGACTCGTGAACTACAAACACGAGAGAACCAAGCTGGCTTTAGACCTGGTCGTGGCTGCATCGACCACATATTCACCATTCGTCAGGTTCTAGAACACAGGCATACCTATCGGCGTCCGACGATGGTGGTCTTTCTTGACTTAAAAGCAGCATTTGACTCTGTAGACCGCGAGACTCTGTGGCAGTGTCTGTCATTGAAAGGCGTACCTCAGAAGTACATAAACCTTGTGAAGGCTCTTTACTCGAACACTACTAGTCGAGTCAGGGCTTATGGCGAACTGTCATCTACTTTTACAACCTCAAGTGGTGTCCGTCAAGGCTGCCCACTTTCTCCATTTTTGTTTAACTTCATCATAGACCTATTGATGGAAATAACACTCTCGTCGACTGAATTCTCGGGTATTGATCTCCTTCCAGGAGGTCCACTTATCGACTTAGAATATGCAGATGACATAGTCCTGTTTGGTGAAGACGCTGACAAAATGCAGAGTCTTCTGGTAGCACTAAGCAACAATGCCAGAATGTTTGGGATGCGCTTCTCTCCCTCTAAATGCAAGTTGTTGCTTCAGGACTGGTCTGCGTCAACACCTGAACTAAGGATAGGGAGTGAAGTAGTCGAACGTGTTGACAACTTCACTTATCTTGGAAGTCTGATCAGCCCTAATGGGTTGGTGTCTGACGAAATCTCAGCACGGATTCGTAAAGCTCGTTTGGCTTTTGCCAACTTACGTCACCTTTGGCGGAGGCGAGATATCCGTCTATCAATAAAAGGACGAGTATACTGCGCGGCTGTCCGTTCTGTTTTAATTTACGGCAGCGAAACATGGCCCTTAAGAGTAGAAGACACCCGTAAGCTACTAGTATTTGACCACAGATGCCTTAGAAATATTGCTGGCATCTGCTGGGATCACCGGGTAAGTAATAGTGAGGTTAGACGCAGGGTATTAGGGAATGATGGTAAATCAGTTGATGAGGTTATGAATCTTCATCGACTGAGATGGTTGGGCCACGTATTACGTATGCCTGAACACCGATTACCGCGACGTGCAATGCTAACCGGTGTAGGGGATGGTTGGAAGAAAGTTAGGGGCGGCCAAACCAAAACGTGGCATCAGTGCCTGAAGTCACTAACTTCTAGTCTGAGCCATGTTGGTAGATGCAGACTACTTGGTTGGGGTCCGCGTGACTTTCGTAACCAATGGTTGGAGACCCTTGGTGACATGGCTCAGAATCGATCACAATGGCGTCGGTGTATACACTCTCTGTCTTCTCTTAAACTAAGAGATTAAGATCACTTCACATCTTTCTTTCTACGAACTAATTCTTTCTTCCTATACTATATCCTTATTGCAATCTTTCTCCTATATATTACCACCTTTGACCTAACCACTCCTATGAATCCAGTGTTCATCTTGCTGTGCTAATGAGGTATGGCAACCTGGGCCGATGCATACATGTGCCTGGTCCTACGTTGTAGCTGACTGACTGACTGACTGACTGACTGGAAGCTGTTAAAGCGTAGGAAACATTTCTGGGACTTATTTTTGTTGACAGGTCATGCACCATTAAAGCGTGAGCACCAAAAACTCCGTAATACCTGTAAGAAAACCATAGCCAAATCCCGTACCACCTACGAACGACGTAGTGATGGTATTTCCCCGTTACTGTTACACGAAAATTCAGATTTACTGGCTGAATCAGATCGAGCAAAAGCTGAGACTTTTTCAAACTATTTTAGCGAAGTCTACTCTACGTTTATTGTAGCAAATACTTGTTCCACTCACACCTAGATACTAACCATTGAATCTGTACAGGTGACTGAGGAAACTGTCCTACCGTTGATAACTAACCTCAAACCTGGTAAGATACCGGGCCCTGACGGGTTACATCCGCGGTTGTTGTCATCTCTTGCAGACATTATTTCAAAACCGCTCGCGACACTCCTCAACATGTCCCTTTCACTCGCTCAACTCCCTAGAGATTGGAAGTACGCTATAGTCAGTCCTATATTTAAGGATGGTCAGAGACAGATAGTATCTAACTACCGGCCTGTCAGTCTAACTAGCATAGTCGTTCAGTTACTTGAAAAGATAATTCGGGTTAGGTTGCTAAGCCACATATATTTACACAATCTGTTAGCTCCTGAGCAACACGGATTTCGTAACAAGCGTTCATGCTTGACTAACTTGCTTATTGCGAGGGAGGATTGGACAACAGCCCTAGATAACGGTCTGTCTGTCGATTTAATATTCATAGATTTTAGCAAAGCATTTGACAAGGTTTCACACTTACGTCTTATGCAGAAGCTCACGAGCTTCGGAATAATAGGTACTGTACATGAGTGGATAGGAAATTTCTTACGTGACCGCAGACAGAGAGTGAGGGTCAATGGAACGCTATCCGATTGGAAACCGGTCAAAAGTGGTGTACCCCAAGGCACCATCTTAGGCCCTCTGCTCTTCCTTCTCTACGTTAATGAGTTACCGCTGTTGCTTAGGTCGTCGACATTATTGTTTGCGGATGACGTAAAAATCTGGAGAACAATAAAAAGTGCGGCTGATCATCTGGATCTTCAAGCTGACTTAGACGATTTAGTTAGATGGGCTCGAGAGTGGGGCTTAGAAATGAATGCTAGGAAGAGTGCGCTAATGCAAATCGGTCACGGTAATAGTTACTGTTATACTATTGAGGGTAAACCTCTTCCATGTGTTCAAGAGCATAAAGACTTAGGAGTAGTATTGTCATGATTTAAAAACAACTACGCATTGCAAAGCAGCCGCTGTCAAAGGTTTTCGTGCGTTTGGTCACTTCGCCGAGCGTTCAAATCTTCTGACGAGGAAACGTTCCGAATTTTATATCTCACCTACATAATACCACATTTAGAGTACTGTATCCAAGCAGCAAGCCCATGCCTGGTAAAGGATACTAACTCATTAAAGCGTGTCCAGCGTGTGGGAACAAAATTAATGAAGGGTCTTTATAAACTCCCTTACGAGTGTTTAAAACGCCTAAACCTTTCCCCTTCGTCGTATCGTAGGACGCGAGGTGACCTTACACAAGCATTCGTATCTTTAATTATGATTTGGGTGTTAATATGCCTTATCTTTGTGCTCCCTCCAGAACTAATAATCTCCGAGGTTATAGCAAGAAAGTTCACAAACCGCCATCTAGTAAACTTAAAGTAGGGTCCCGTTTTTCTTATCGAGTAGTTAATGATTGGAACGCCTTACCCGAACAAGTGGTGTCAGCCCCATCAGAGAATACTTTCAAAGAGAAGCTGGACCTTCACTGGAAAGCAGGGTGTCAGGATTAATACAGGTTCACCAACCTACTATCCTTATTACTGAAGACAAGACAAGACAAGCTTGCCCAACCTCCCAATTTTGGGGAAAATTTGATCCATTTTGGGGAAGCCGCTGTTTAAAATTTTGAGAAAATGGCACTAACACCCCCAAATTTCCTCAAACTTTGGTAAAGGTCATTTGACTCTGGGGATCTCCCCAAACTTGGGAGATTGGGTGGTTGCTGTTAATTAACTTAAGCCAATTAGCGATCGATTAAGATGCGATGCACTTTATTTCCAGATTAATTAAATAAAAAAGGCAGTTGGAGCTCTTAATAGTCACTGCACACTTATCTTGAGATTGATTGTCGATAATGAACTCTGTTGCATTAGAAAATAGAACCAAGGTTAAAATTCTGAGAATGCTAGCATAACGATATAACTTACAAAGTCTTCTGGTCGCCTTTCAAAATAGTTCCCATATATGCAGTGTTCAATCAGAGAAGTTTTCCCAGAACCAGTCGGTCCACAAACAACCAACTTCGTAATCTTACCCATGAAAAATGTGTGTTAGACAGACCGGTTTCCTGAAGGTCGTCCCATCAATATACAATATCTTCATCATGAGATGGCAAAATCTTGTCTTTGCATTGAAGAATAGTTGAGGATTTCTGGTAGCATCCGACTATGGACGAATAAACACCTATTTCATGACAAAAAGAAGAACTGGGGAAAAACCACAAAAGAACTGTAGTACGTTTAGAATAACTGTGAATATCATCCATTTCAGATTCAGATTCAGATTTGTGTAGTAAGGAGAGAAGGCCTACGGCCTATGTTATTCCTTTCCTAGTATGCTTTTGTGAGTGTCCAGTCTTCTCTTGAAAGAGTCAATTAAAGGTGCGGACACCACTGATTCAGGCAGCAGGTTCCAAGTATTGATGACTCGGTGTGAAAACCTGTATGCCACGGGTATTTTGTTCGTTCTTGGCTTTTCTACTCGCCTTTTTAACAGGAAACCCTGGACCCAGGTTTCGTGCTCCTTGGCACTCGTCAGCAAGGTGTACCTGTAATCTTGAGGGAACTGGTGCTCCCTGGCGGATTCGATCTCGTGTCACCCAGCTTCACAGTCAGAGACGTTACCACTGAGCTATCCATACCCTCGATAGAATCAGCAGAAAGTATGCAATATGTAAGAAGTAATTTCCAGTAGACGTAATTCTGAACTATTCAATAGACTATCTAGAACAAAGTCTTCGCTCAGCCAAAGTCAGAACAAGTAAGCTATTTGACTTGATAAACCTTATCTATTTTTAAATCTTAAATTAACACTGTTGATGTGGAAAATAAACAATTAATACAATCTATTAAACAGGAAAAAAGAGTGGCGTAACTAACATGCCGAATAGTAACTATAGGGTAGGAAAAATGAGTCGATGAACTTAATACCCTTCATGATAAACATGAAATAATGATTGTTTAGATCAAAAGGAGTTGATGTGTTGGTGGGCTTTTCGTGTTGTCATACCTTTCTTAGCAAATGAAGCATTTGTAGTAAACAGCTGCTCATTCCATTTCAGTTACGGTACAATTAACACGTGTACGTTGTATTCTCCCCTTATCGCTACGCTGACACGTTCTTTTTTTACTTGTGCATACCAATGGCAAAGGCAAGAAGTTATAGTATATACACTATGTTTAGTACCTTTACTTATCACAAATTTTCACGAACAATTCCTTTGGGATTCTGAATTCACGGTCTCATGTACATGCTCTAATGCAGTACGTATTGCAGATAGCATAGTATGAAGTGGCTCATAACCAACAGTAATCATTTCTCTTGAAATATTTCTGTACCGTATGCGCGAGTTTATGGACCTTTGAAATTAATTGACTATTCTGACTAATCGTATTGTAAGAATCAGGTATATAATGTCTAGAATTCCCTAAGAACGCATTTCGGCGGGGTAGAAAGTAATGTATTTAATACAAGATCAAAGAGGTTTTACATAGAGTGACCACGTTTGTATGACCGAGCCATGCCGTTGTAGAACTATGTTCTACGTCGTTATCAGTATTATTATAATAATGAGCATAATTCTAAAGTTGTGGATTTGTCATGGTGTAACCGCCTGATCAATAAGACCTTACGTGGAAGTAAAATCGCTGCCTACAATGACTTGTATCATCACAATTAACAATTTGATGTCCGGAGTTCCTAAAAAACACATTTAGGCTAAAAATAGAACAAAAAATTTAATTTGAGCAAAGACAAGTTATATAGAATGACGACGCCTGATTGAATTCAATTAATTCCCCACGCCTTATCCATCGTTGGCCTTTTCTCCGCGTTAAATGTTGGATATCGATTATCCCAGCCACTGTGTGTTCATCTTTGAGGATTACGTGGCTAGAACCAATACTGCTACACCCTTTTGAACCCTTGTTCCAACGTTTGTCATTGTTGACCTTCTCTTAGCTTTACATGTTGAAAGTGAATCTTTTTGATAATTCTATGTTCAGCTTCGAAGATCGTGTGATTAGGGACAAATAACACTACAGACCCTTATTTCCTAACTTATAAGTATCTCGTTGGTTAGTTTTCTGCGAAACTGTCATAAGACAGCAATAAGTTTATTAATACTTTCCTTTTTTTCTATAGAGTCATAAATAGTCATCGTAACCTGTTCCGTTAGATTGACGGTCAGATAGCCTAGACTTCTGGAGAGAAACAACATGATGGCATATGCTTTGTCTACCTCAGTTTAACAGATATGACGGCTAGAATACTTGGTAGATGTTATACGATCCGCTTTCTATAATAGGAAATATGTAATGACCTGCATGAAATACTCATGATCCTCAAACAAACTTATTCTATGAACATGTGTTAGTTCGTATCCAATGTTTACGCGTCGACCTTGCGCGTCTCTTTGTAGGAGCTTCCTATCTTCATATATAATTTAATTGAATGCCTACCTACACACTGTACCTCAAACTAGTTACTATCATTATTATTCACAAACATTTTATGGGTACATAAGTGCTGTGAAGAAAGCATTTCAGGTTTCGTTACAGTTTTAATTATGTTAGCATTAAACTTGCCGTACTTGAAAAAAAGAGGAATTAATAAGAGAATAGAGCAATAATAATAAATCAGGCTGTGTATAATTGAGAAGAATATTGAGTTGACTTCAAATAAGGAAAGGGCGAAATACACAAATAGTTTAATAAGCGTGTTTATGAACACGACTATGTATGTATCGTCAATTGAGTAACAAAAATAAAATAGAACAAATAAATATGAGAAATAACTTGTTAATGCAGTAAGATATGACGTCAGAATAAGTGTTTGTTCAAATGTTCAAATGTTCAAATTAATTTAAGTGTAACACAAGTTATTGTCTCAATTACAAACTTTGAAATCTTAGGAATACTATTTATTTAGAAAGAGAAAAGGGATAGAAAAGAAATGAAAACCTCGTGAGTGTGTTCGATCATGGTAATAAGAACGTGATGAATATCGACTTCTGAAGCAAACCATTAATTTTGTTAGTTTTTTAGTGCACTCGGAAGAATATATGTAAAGTTGTGTATTAGAACTCAGAGTTAAACTTGATACTAGTATGAATATTTGTGCAATAACAATTAGGAATTAGGGTATGGAAGTCACAGTTAATTGCAAGGGATAATCAAATATAAAGTTCTGTTTTATATATATGTGGTGAAGATTATATAAATCTGAGTACTTAATTTACTTAAGTATAACATAAGATGATTTATTTTTAGTTATAGACTTTGGATGTTTGAGAATAAAATATGTTTAGAATGGAAAGAAGAGGCGAAAATAATATCTACTGTGTCAAGTTACCAATAATGATAATCAATTAAAAAAGAACAGTGTATTCGTCAAGATGTGCCAGCTATTTAATAGTCAGGCTTATGCGTCAGTGTTGCACGGTCCGTACAGACTTTATAATGTTTCAGAACTGGTGTCGCGTTAATTTTGTGAATTTGGTAAACGCACAACAGGTTCAAACTTGACATTAGTGTGTTAGAATTGTGGTAGTGCTATGTATTTATGCAATACAAATATCCACGATGTTTAAAGATATAATAAGGTCACTTTTGGGCGCTTGATATGTGCTGTGACCTTAAAAGATATATATATTAAGTTCTTTTAATTTTATTCCTGGAGTAAGAAGCTCCATAGCTGTACACTGAGAACGCGTCGCTAAAAAGTAACAAAAAATGAGAAATATAAGATGCACGGTATTTGGATATAAACTCTCAATAATGCTCAACTATTTGTAATGGAACAGACAAGGATACGTAAATTGGTAGATAGAAATAAAACAGGCTGCCGTTACTAAATTGGAATATGATCAAGTCTTGATATTAGAGAGTACGGTCATAAATAGCAGTGAGTTATGGTGTGTTATAAGATGGAATGGTTTCAAATGATAGAGGCGATTTCGGGGTTAATCAGAAAGGCTATTTTTTTAAATGGAAAGAGAACCAAAAGACAATGAAGTGCTAAGGAACGCTAACAACTACACCTTTTACGATAATATTTTTTTGACTCTCACTTTTTATCTAATATCAGTCACTGGGGCATAATATGAAAGCCTGACTTAGAGTGTAATAGGTAATTATAGTGGGGTAGAAAATCCAGCATAAGATTGAAAACATAAGTATGAGTTGCGAGAGTAAAAGAACAACGATAGTATCACTGATTGATTGGCTCGTCCTTGGTCGTAAAAGGCCTGAAACAAGCGGAATTTTCAACTCTGAAATCATTAGTGGATTAAAGTCATCGTCCTAACCATCGACGCTTGCTTGTCAGCAACTCAATGGACCACCCTTAATTAGAATAAGTAGACTAATGTGTCGAATTCGTGCTACATCTGCTTGTCCGTCGCATATATACTTGTGTTTTTAGTTGCTTGTGTAAAACGAACGCATCGTCAATACATTTCGCGGTCCACTTTTTCCATTCAACATTATATTTACGTGACATACCAATGGTTATTTGGATACGAGATACCCAAACAGTAAACTGAAATCAGTTGTAGTGCTATGAAAGTGATGATAGAGTTAATCCTAAAGAATGGCTTGACCACGTCACTTTTGTCCACAAATGACATCCATCATTGACTGCTTTTAGTGGAAACAAGTTCTTAAAGTCTGGCCAATTATTATTCAATTGAGTCCCAATTGATGGGCATCGATACTTACCGAAATCTTTATCTCACTAGACCTTAAGATTTTCTGCACACAGAAAGCATTGGGTTGATCACTGATAACCACTAAGAAAATTGGCCCAATGAAGTAACATTGTGTTGATCTACTCAAACATTCATAAATGTGCAGGTTCAGACAGAGTGTTACAGTAGGTACTCCAAGTAGTTAACTTGCCATGAACTGGTATTGTGAATATCATTTGTTAGTATTTTTCACATAATTGTATTACCGTAGCTTTGAACTTGGTTTGGACGCAATTTTAACCCTGAATGATTGGTTGAAAACCAACTTTGGTCTGTTATCTTGGATTTTTG